GCATCTACATGGCGGAAGAAGACATCCCTCAGCTCACTGGTGAGGCACTCAGGAAGTTCCGTGAGGTTACAACTCTGGGGAATGAGCCCGACCTGGCCAACAAGGCACCACAACCGAGGATCCCAAAGGCGAAGGCATCAGGTGAGCCGAGGGCACCAAAAGTGCCAAGCGAGACTGCAAAGTCGAAAACAAAACCGGCATCACCGAAGGCGAAAGCACGCCCGGCGGGAGCTGAGGCCGATGTTGAAATGAAGCCAACAGAGGAAACTCAGCCCAAAGTACCAAAACGCCCGGCGGGAGCTGTGGCCTCGGATTCGACCCCGACAGCAAAACCAGCTGTCAAAGCGAAGGCCATGCCTCGGGCACCACCGGTGCCTCCCGTTTCGTCGCCTCTTGGGGAAAACGAAGTTGTGGCATTGCAGTCAAGATCGGTTCCGGGTGCTGCCAATTTGGCGAACTTGAACTCGAAACAAGTCTGGATTTCCCGACGCGTCTCGGGCTTGCTCCGAGGGTGGGAGCATAGTAAACAATCCTGGCACAAGGTGCAGCCTCCGAGCTTCGACGCTGGGCTGTGGATGGATTTTGGCAAGGTGTACTCGTTCATCAAGCGGAAGTACGATGTCAACCTTACCAACGATGAACTGCTGACGGTCATTACATCCAATCACAGATTCATGCTCGAGGTGAGGATTGCGCCAAAGGGGACTTTGGTCGGTGGAAAATACCAATATACACCTCTCCGGATCAAAGCGATTCAGAACCATAATGAATGGTCAAGCAACAACGTGCAGGACGCACTTCCTGAGCATGAACGCTTTGTCACTCTCGATGAGGAGTATACTTCGGTGGAGTACCTGGCCGGCAAATTCCCTCGAGTTCCGCGAGGTGCGCTGGGAAAGGTGAAGGAGGTGGCCCCCACCATCCTCTATCACTACACGCACCGGGCAGCACTGGTTGAGATCATCAACATGGGATTGATTCCCGGCGGCAATCGAACTGGAGCCAGGTTCACATTCTTGACGAAGGAAGATCCGTGGACAATTTCGGGCACTGACTATGCAGCGATGGCGGCGACTCGCCCCATCTGCGTTGCCTTGGATCTCCAGATGATGATTCTGAACGGGCACCGGCTCATAGAAACAACTGCTGGTACAATCCTATGCCCTGACTGGCTGGCAAACCGGAACGTGATTTACGTATATGACATGGAGTCCCGATGCTACGCCTTCGCGAACCATGTGTACGCACACTATCGCGGCATCATTACCGGTGAAACAAAAGCCTTCAATTCAGCACGCACTGGGGGACCAGTTGCCGATGACGATGAAATGGTGAAAAGCCCACTGGAAAAGTACACCTACCAGGTCCTTGGTGACTATGAGAGGTGGTGTGGAAAGGTGGACACTTTTTCCCCATTCGTGTACGGTGAACTGTTTGAACGCCCAGGCGTGAAAGACCAAATGATATCAGGAAAGCAGAATCCTGATTTGGAAACATACGAGGTCACGTATGTCGTTCGCAGGCCCAATTTCAACGCCTATAGGAACCAGGTGTCGCCCAAAGAGATGCTGCCCAACTACAACCGACCTCGGTTTGATTGGCGCAAGATCCACCCCGAGACTGAGGGCTATGGCAACACTCGATGGATGGTCGTTGAGGGCATTCAGATGCCAGAAGATCAGTGCCCGACATGCACAAATACCTACACCCATGGCATGATGTCCTGCATCACGTGCGGCACCTTCCTCAACAATGCCTCGGATCTGTGTAAAGCTGCTCAGCTCATTCGGATCGAGGAAATTGCAGCAGATCTCGGTATCGAAGTCACGATGGACATGGTACCTGAGGACAGGCTGCAAGGAACAGGTGTGAGGAGGACGCCGGCGGGGACGCCTGGCCATGAAGTTCAACGTGCTTCTCGTTCGGGCATCAACATCTTGAAAGCGAACGCCAAAAGCCATGTCCAGAAGGCGGATAAGATGTCCATGACGGTATCGCAGCGACAGCTGACTGACGCTTTCTACGCGTTCAACTGTGCAGCCCAGGACCTCTCCCCAATCTGCATTCAATTCCTGGAACGACTGTCAGATGCCATCATCCCTGATCCTCCGAGGACAAGGGAAATGATTGCTCGTGGCGTCGGTCATCGATACGCTGGTAAAGTCATCTTCATGAACGAACCAGCAAAAGGGAATGATGCTGACCTGAGCGAGGACTTCTTCATCTATTGGAAGAACAGGCTGCACCGTCCTGAGACTTTCGCTGCGGACTATTGTCAAGGTGCGAAACGACCCGCAATCCTGGGATTTGGAGGTGAATGGCGAAGTGAGAAGACGGACCCTGATGATGTGTTGGATGAACTCCTGGAATTCGTGATGGGCGATGCTCAATTTGTACCTGGCTTGGATATCAACCTTGTGAAAGAAACAAGGGCACTTGTGATTCCCAAGGCCAAGGCCGCACCAGGCCCAGGTGAAAGTCTGGCCAGAGCAACACGTACTCAGGCCGAGACATCAGAGCAACGCTGGCGAGGAGCTGCCGGAAGTGATCAATACCATGATTGGCAGCAGTCATCCTCATCGTCTTCCTGGTGGTCCTCATCCAACCGCAACTGGTGGCAAGATGATCGCGGTCGTGGCAGTGACTGGCGAGGACATGACTGGTGGAGTCAGCGCAGGTGGTGAACACGACGCACAGCGGGAGCTGTTGCCTGTGGAGAAGAGAATGAAATCTACGGGTGACTCGGCTGTCATTGTGCACTGTGTTTTTCCCTCAACGCACCGCGGGAGCGGTTGCCTGGATGACCGTTTCTGTGATGCACCGGGGGACCGGATGCCTGAAACCAGCAGCTAATTCGTTTGAGTTCAGGTCGATGAACTTGGCTCTCAATCCTTGCAATGAAGAGCGCACATCTTTTGCTGTGCTTTGTCGCCACGCGGGAGCGTGTGCCTTGATGGCTTTGTTCCTGCTTTCTAAAAGGTTGGCATTGCACTCCCAGTTCCGCTGCGCAAAAGAGATTATCTTTGTGAGCTTGCTTTGAACTTTCATGCATGAATCAGTTGAGACATGTTCAACCCTAGCATCAAAGCATGACAGTGCATTATGTGATCCGTCCTTGAGGTCAACCATCCTCTCCATCTCAAGGCACGTTCCGGTTCGATGCTTCGCACGTACCGGGGGACCGGATACCTTCGTAGGTCCTTAATTAGTGCACTGTACATAACTTCACTCCTCCCATTTTCGTTCAGCGGGGGGTGTTGTTTCACGCTAGGATGTCGTATACATGTCTCACTTACCTACTGTTTGGCTCAAGGAAAACCAGGTGCGACTTGTTGGTAGTTCTCGGTCGTTTACCTGTATCTACAGGATCATTTCTTGAAGCAGACCGGCTGCAACGAGGGCAGCCAGTGGAAATAGCTGCTTCCAAAGCAGCCGTGCACGCCTTGCTTGACTTTGTATATGGCGGGCAACCTGAGGTGACCCTGGAGCCTGGTCTTGAACTCCTACGACTGGCCGAGGCCTACGACTTGCCAAAGCTAGCAGGTGCGATTGAGGCAGGCTTTCGCTTCTCCTTGGATAGCAATACGGCCCTGCAAGTGTTGCAGGAAACACATGGCCTCCACGCTTTTAAATCTGCATGTGAAGAGAAGGTTGCCGAGGACTTTGAGACTTGCATCCTGACCCAAGACTTTGGAAAGCTTAGTGCACTTCAGCTGGCACGGGTTTTGAAACGAGAAGACTTGGGCGTTTCTCGAGAGGAAGCCGTGTTGAAGGGCATATGGAATTGGCTCAAAATCTCCAACGAAAGAAACACTTTCCTTGGTATGCTATTGCAACATGTTGACTTTCAATCTATTTCTGTTGAGAATTTGCTTCGACTTGGACATTTCACGCTCTCCGGCCCACATGGAGGTGACATGCACCGTGAAGTTGATGATGCTTTGCGAGTTCGGCAACGAAAGAGAAACCCAAGCTGGAGCGCATGGGCATGCAACTTTCGGCCAAAGAGGCGCTGTTTGCAGCATTGGTCACCAGATCTGGGTGCCAGCGCTGAAGCTGCAGGACGAGAAGTGCTGCCAATACCATGCATTTCCTTGTGCTGGCATGAAGGTGCCATATATGCCATGAACTCCCACAATGACGTCCTTTGTTGGAGGCTCAGCGAGCCAGCAACCCCTGCACGAAAAATTGTAGATCGCGGAAACACCAGAGTGAACATAGGCCCAAGCCGACACCTGGCCGTGTCTCCTACCGGAGAGCTTTATGTGGCAGATGAGTGTGATGAGTCCCTCACACGTTTCCAGGATGGATCTGGACAAGTGCTACTTGACCATCTTGGCGATGATTTCACAATATGTTGCTCACCTAACGGAGTGCTTTACGTGCTGAACTGCATGGATGACACACTGCAGAAATTGGTGGGCTCGACATTCCAATTGATGATGACGGGAGTTACATTCTATGCGTGCAGGATGTTTGCAACCAAGGAGGAGGTGATCTATGGCATTTGTGCTGAAAGCAATGAAGTTGCGCGCATCAATCCAGCTGATCCATCCAATCCTGTTGTTGTGCTGGGACAACTCCGGAGCGACACGGATACGGAGGAATGTGGTCTCGGGGATTTGTTCGTCACTGAGGGTGGAACGATCTATCTTTCGGACTTTGTTCAAAAAAAGGTGTGGGCCTTCCGTCCAGACGATGCAAGTTTCACGGAGGTGTTGGAGTGTCCGAACGGGCTGAGACCAAGGGCAGTTTTGGTTCAGGACAGGTCTCTGTATGTGGGCATGACGGACCTACACGGCAATACCGGGGGCCTTTACCAGTACTTGTTGCCGCCTGAGCTGCAGCTTGAGTGAAGAGCATGAACTGCCGACAGATGGATGCCGGCGGCATGCGTGCGTGCTGCAGTTGAAAAAGGGGGTTTGTTTCTTTGCATCCAGAATTGTTTTTTTCATGATTCTTTGTTTGCTGCGATGGGTTCTCCTTGGGGCGTGCCGCAGGACGTGCCCACCTTTTGGCAGCACTGGGGCGAGCTCTTTGCGGAGTCTCCGAGCCGCGCGGTGCTGGCCACGAACAACTTGATCTTGTCGGAGCAGCGCCTCGGACCCCGCGGTCCTTCATCCAGAGGGCTCCATCCGCCTCCGGGGTTCCGTCTGTGGTGGTGGAAGGAGGCGGGAACCGCCGAGTCGTTGGACACATCGCCTGTTGAAGCACCAGAACCTGCCGCTGTCAAAAGCCAGCCTGTGGCATTGATGGTTTCTCTTCAACGAGCCTTGTAAAGATTGCGGCTCCTTGCAGGGGTGACAGGTATTCCAGAGGGTGTTCAAAAATGGTGATGAACGGGTCTGGTTTCCAAAGTATGGTTTTGCATATGGATGACAAGTATATAAGCCGTTTTGCTCTCTCGGTTTGGGTGGAGGGATACGGCCTCAACACACACGCGCCGCACACGCGCCTCTCCGCGCTTCCCACGGAGAGGCGCAGCATGCGACGTTCCGCATGAACTGGAATGATGGGACTCTCTGACGAACACATCACATGGAAGTGGAAATAATGGCCTCTTGGAAGACTACTTTCCTTTAACAGGAGGTTTTCCACTTCCATGTTTGTGAGTCGGAGGTTTTCGCGCTTAGATCAGGGCATTCGCGCTTTCTTGTTTGCACTTGTATGCACTTGTTATTCTTCCCATGTTTGGTCTCTGACCAGCGTTCCCAAGCCACATACATTTTTTCTTGGGTCACGCGTTGTACCGTGAGGACCCGCCACCATGGTCAAGGTTTTACTGCAAGTTGCGTTCCACTAAGGGCCCTAGGACCAAGACATTGGAGGCCTCAGCGGTTGTAGTGTTCCTTTGTAGGTTCTTTGGACCAGCGGTGCACTCGGGCAGCCCTTGGGTGGAAGGGTTATGTGGGAGGTATCAACATGTTCGCGTCCAATGGTCCAAGTGGACAATACTCCTTTGCGACTCTTGGAGAGTGGGACGGGTTGACCTAAGATAATTAATCTATGTCATGTTGTCCGGTCGATGTTTTCGCTGGTCCAGCTCAGTATCTGCGGCCCATCTCTCTCTCTCTCTCTCTCTCTCTCCCTCCCTCCCTCCTTCCCTCCCCTCTCTCCCTCCCTCCCTCCCTCCCTCGCTCGGCCCAGGATCTTCTACCAGACTGGGCGTCGCCTGCCCTACGTGCGGGCGCAGGGGCTGTATACTGAGGCGAGGGACGCTGAGGCGGTTGAAGTTGTTCTCGCTCCTTTTGTTGGTTCCTCAGACTTCTGAAGTAAGGGCCAGTCAATGAGACACGATGCTTGGGCCAGCGGAACAGGTTTCAAACAGTCCTGCTTCAACAGGACCACATAGTCATACAACTCGAAAAGCACTGACAGCCGCAGATGATGGATAACGGGCACCCGGGCTAAGTGGCGTAGGGCGTCCTTCTGATTTCCGTCCCTTCTATCGAACAGTTCCTCCGGCGGCACTCCGCCCACACCCGGATCGGTCGCTCAGCGAGCTCGCGTTCGAGCGAGGAAAGGCCGCGTTCGAGCGAGGAAAGGCCCTTGACAGATCGAATCCAATTCCAACACTTTGGCGGACATGATGAACTTTTGGGGGGCCGCTCCTGAAGTGGTGATGAAAGGAAACCCCGCTCCAACTACCCCGCAAGTGCGCATGTAGGTGGTCTATTCCCCGCAGCTGGTTGACCAGATCCTCTTCTGGAGGTGCGCGTCACTAGTCGTGTGCCGATGGACTTGGCATAGCAGCGGAGAGTGGTACTTGTAGCTGGCGTCCAGCCCAAATATGAAGGGACCTTGAAGGCATGCTTGGATGCCATTTGTTTTT